AACTGTTGTCCCACCGCAGAAAGACAACCTACAAATCCTGTCGATAACAAAGCTGCAACATCACTTCCAACGCAAACAATAAACTAACAACATTTACAATGAGTACAACCTCATTAAACTAATAACCATCAGAGATAAAAAACAAATGATTCAGGAACAAGACTCCTGGTATTAGCAATATAAACAAAATGGTACTAATTCTTCTGTCAGTGATCGCAATCCATCAATATACACAAATATTAAATGCTGATGTATTATAAGGTTCTATTCCGACCGTATCTCTAATGTCCTCCAGTACCACAACCTTAAGGAAAACCAACATGCGAAGACGACAAGCCGTGCAAAATAGGTCGTTAAGAAGAGCTACCTATTTTGTGGCTACCTTCTGGTGATTCAGGGGATCAACGTACCTGCGGCCCGGTCTTTTGACCAGGCCCGCTGGTTGGTGGTCTGGTTAACCAGAGCAGCAAATCACCGTCCGCCATATAACAATCCAGAAGCTCCATGAACTGCTGAACATACAACTCGAAAACATCAGACACCACCATCACCAAGCCACCAGGGCGTGAAAACGCATCCAACACTTGCAACATTTTCCAGTGCTAGAAACACTACCAAGATGAGATGCAACCCCCCCCCCCCACACACACACACACACACACACACAGAGTTGACGGCCCAAGAACCTGAATCTACCCGATGGAAACCTATAGCTTCTTGCTAGTTACTTGCATCCCCGTGTCCTCCTCACCAGTTCCCGCCCAACCCGTCTTCTTAAAATAACGTCGTTTGTCGCTCGTATGAGCGCTATAGCCAAGAAGGGACGTAATTTGAAATGAAAGTCACCGTGGTGTAGTGTTTAAGGCGTTCGCCTGGCGTTCCGCGAGCGCTTTGTCATGGCTTCGTATCCTGGCCGGGGAGGATTTACTGGGCGCAATTCCTTAACTGTAGCTTCTGTTTAACTCAACAGTAAAATGTGTACTTGGTTGTAAAAACGATTCTTCGTGGGGGTCGTATTCCAGGGACCATAAGATTAAGGACCTGCCCGAAACGCTACGTGTACTAGTGACTGTACAAGAACGTAACAATTCTTGTATATATGTCATAAAAAAATCGACTCACGAAAGTGATGTACTGTTCTGTGTGTCTTCCGGCTTACTCGGTTAGGTTAAGAGAGGAAACTTTCAATTAACATTTTTCATAATGTTTTGAAACCTTAGGAGAACTGCCTGCCCTCATAACCTAAGAACTCTTAACTTACTGTTTTGGAAAATAAATCCAAAATTGATATTTTAGTTTTGTTTTATTAGTTTTATTAAACTGTAATATCAATATAGCTATAGGTTAAGTACTAATTGTAATTAAGAAGCAATAAAATTATCATGCCCGAAACGCCCGAAAAAAAATTATAAATTATCCCTGCCCGAAACGCTTTGCGTAATAGTGGCTTTAGGCATTGTATGTACTAGCTCTATCTATAAAGCCAACAAACTTTGTAAAATCTCTTTATGTATGTACCTTACCTAAATAAAATTATTATTATTATTATTACTATTATTATTATTATTATTATTATTATTATTATCATCATCTTCAAAAACTAAGACGGTTAGGTGAGGTTGTGGTTTTCTATTCAGTTTTTCAGGTAAACTCAAATATTCACAATATATTTGACAGTACGATTTAATACTAAGTGAAAATAAGTACAATTCCTAACTGCTATGAATAGTACATAATTGCACTTATTTGTCTTCTTACATTTACCACCCCATTTTTGGAGGACGGGCTGGTCAGATGGGCGGGTGTTGGGTGGGCGGGAAGAGCGCCAAGACGCCGCCGCCACTCTCGTCCGCGCCGCCTAACGGTACACACGCTCACTAGTGCTACTACCAGCGGGTACGGCTTGGGATTTTATAATCTGCTCTTTTATTATGTAGCACATACCCATCCCGTGGGGCCCCACGTACCCATCCCGTGGGGGTCCCGTACCCATCCCGTGGGGCCCCCCGTACCCATCCCGTGGGGGTCCCGTACCCATCCCGTGGGGGTCCCGTACCCATCCCGTGGGGCCCCACGTACCCATCCCGTGGGGGTCCCGTACCCATCCCGTGGGGCCCCACGTACCCATCCCGTGGGGCCCCCCGTACCCATCCCGTGGGGGTCCCGTACCCATCCCGTGGGGCCCCCCGTACCCATCCCGTGGGGCCCCACGTACCCATCCCGTGGGGGTCCCGTACCCATCCCGTGGGGCCCCACGTACCCATCCCGTGGGGCCCCCCGTACCCATCCCGTGGGGGTCCCGTACCCATCCCGTGGGCGGCAGTAGAAAAGGCTACAGAAGCACATTTTTGGCCCAGAAACCTCAAAATTCATTTAGCCAAGCACGTTACAGTCTAGATAAGCTAGTTACACAGCTTAATATTATTATAATATGTATGTATGTATGTATGTATGTATGAACTGGACCACAAGTCTCTAAGCTGAGTAATGGCATCTGTGGCGAGTTAGCTAAATTGCTCATTTAACTGGATCACGGACCCACACTAATGCAGTGGAAAGTTTACAGTCGAGTGCAGAATCTACCTTTAGTAAGTAAACTGCATATTTTGCCAAGATTTATGGTAGTATACCATTTTGAATAAACACATTTCTTGAACATTTGTAACTGAATTGTACCTGAATTCTGAAATCTGTTCACATTCAATTACATAGTGAGGTACGGCATGAGGGTAGTGAGGTACGGCACGAGAGTAGGGTGGTACGCCGCCAGAGTAGTGAGGTTAGCGTTTACTCCAGCAGGCGAGACAAACTCCCAGAGGTACTTGTAGCCAAGTCTAAGCCTACCTGAGCACGGCCATCACCAATGTTTTTCTCGCATTAATACTTGTGTGGCCAGGCGAGGCTAGAGGGAGTGTGGCCAGGCGAGGCTAGAGGGAGTGTGGCCAGGCGAGGCTAGAGGGAGTGTGGCCAGGCGAGGCTAGAGGGAGTGTGGCCAGGCGAGGCTAGAGGGAGTGTGGCCAGGCGAGGCTAGAGGGAGTGTGGCCAGGCGAGGCTAGAGGGAGTGTGGCCAGGCGAGGCTAGAGGGAGTGTGGCCAGGCGAGGCTAGAGGGAGTGTGGCCAGGCGAGGCTAGAGGGAGTGTGGCCAGGCGAGGCTAGAGGGAGTGTGGCCAGGCGAGGCTAGAGGGAGTGTGGCCAGGCGAGGCTATAGGGAGTGTGGCCAGGCGAGGCTATAGGGAGTGTGGCCAGGTGAGGCTAGAGGGAGTGTGGCCAGGCGAGGCTAGAGGGAGTGTGGCCAGGCGAGGCTAGAGGGAGTGTGGCCAGGTGAGGCTATAGGGAGTGTGGCCAGGTGAGGCTATAGGGAGTGTGGCCAGGTGAGGCTATAGGGAGTGTGGCCAGGTGAAGGTGCGAAGGTGGTGAGAGGCAAGGTGAAGGCGAGGCTGGCCAGGTGAGAGGAATGGAGAGTAAGAGAGGTGACGAGTGGCCGGGAAATAAGAAATGCCGAGGTGTGAGTGTGAGAGAGGAGCCAGGGTTGGGGAGGGACGGGGCCAGGTGAAGGTGTACACCTGTGGAGCAGACTCCGGGCACCCAGGCGGCAGACGGTGGTGGCACACTGACGCCTTAAGACGGTGTCACACACCCGCCCTCAGAAACGTTTACGGGATGCCCTGAGACAACCACAGAACACCCCAAGCTTCCCCACAAGGTTACAGTAATTTACCGGCCTGCCAGCTGCCTCTCCTGCTTCATGCCCGCCATATTATACATAGGCAGGAAAGGTGTCGCAAGTATCCGGATTCCAAAGAATTTAAATCGCGAACTGCGCGGGAGGAGTCGACTGTGTCCCGCCCCCCGGCCAGTCATGGCTGTCCACTTGTCACCGCCCGTTATTACCCGCCTCTGGTGCTCTCTCGCATCCCACTTACCTCTATAAACACATCCTCCCAACTATCTCTCCAAGTAACACTAACGCATAACATGGGGGACATTATTTAATAAAAATTTTCTTGAATCAGTGTTGGGGAGAGGCGCGGTGGTGAGACATGGCAACTGCCGCCTTCCTCATACCTGAGGCGGCGCTGCCAAGTCTCTGGCGCCTTGACACCCACACCTGGGTAATGGCTCCCACGGCAACGTTTAAAGTAATGGCGTGAGGTAATTGTAGCCCCTCTCATTCTATCATTATAGGGCCTACTACAATGATGGGGTAAACGGGGGGAGGGGGTAGAGGGAGAGCGAGAGAGCAATGTGGCATTTGTAGGTCGCGTTACAGTTGTACAGAGTTGGTGGTGGAGGCGGAAGTCGCGGTGACACACACGGGATCCACACTCCTATTACATTAATGGCTACTTCCCATGTTTCTCCCCTCACACCTCATTCAAACACACTCCTACTCTTAAAATTCACTCTCAATAACCCTAAAAATTATTTCTATTTTATTTATATATGTACAAGAGTTCTTACATTCTCGTACAGCCACCAGCACGCATAGCGTTCCGGGCACGTCCTTAGTCCTAATATTCCCCGGAATACGACCCGCCAAATCTTTTAACAACCAGGTACCCATTCACTGCCGGGTGAACAGAGGCTACAGTTAAGGAGTGGCGCCCAGTAAATCCTCCCCGGCCAGGATACGAAATAGGCCAAAGCGCTTATTGCGAAGCTCCCAGCGAGTGTTTTACCATTGCGCCACGGAGACCACTGTGTATGTTGACATTTTTATCGTGTAAATGCTGCTCTTCTATTTATTTACTATATCGTTAAAACATTTACAAGAGGGTAATGGGCCATATAACAATGCTTGTACTTAACAAAAGGCAGACGATGAGTAACATTAACATGGAGGCCTGGTCGAGGACCGGGCCGCGGGGACGCTAAGCCCCGAAATCATCACGATAACCTCAAGATATAACATGCCTGAAGAGTTGGTACCAACCTCACATCTGAAAATGAGGAAAGGACGAGGTTTCCCTCCGTCAGAGACCATTAGTGAAGACACTTACCAAGTACTGGTCGATGGGCTTGTCGTAGACCCGCTGGATCTTGGTGGCATTGAGGGCGTGCGCGATGTGCAGCGCCGTGCTGTCGAACCGCCCGTACTTGTAGTCACTGAACGACGAGTTGTGGCCATTCTCAGAGCCGTTCCCACTACCGCTCCCCTGAAACATCAACGTAACACAATAATGGTGAGAGGACTGACATAAATGGCAAAGAAGAGGGCCAATCAGATCAATGCCAACAGTCAAAAGAAATCGCCAGAGCACATAATTGGCAGGAAAGGTGCATTAAGTGGTTGCCGACGTTCAATAATAAACAAATGCCTGGGTGGATGGTGCAGGCCCTGGTGTGTGTGGATGGTGCAGGCCCTGGTGTGTGTGGATGGTGCAGGCCCTGGTGTGTGTGGATGGTGCAGGCCCTGGTGTGTGTGGATGGTGCAGGCCCTGGTGTGTGTGGATGGTGCAGGCCCTGTGTAGATACTGAAAGGCTCATGGAAGGAAACTGCAAAACTATCAAATATATAACACAATATCAGCCACTACTCCGCCACCGGGGGGAGCCACCGCCACCGGGGGGAGCCGCCGCCACCACCGGGGGAGAGCCGCCGCCACCACCGGGGGAGAGCCGCCGCCACCACCGGGGGGGAGCCGCCGCCACCACGGGGGGGAGCCGCCGCCACCACGGGGGGGAGCCGCCGCCACCACGGGGGGGAGCCGCCGCCACCACGGGGGGGAGCCGCCGCCACCACGGGGGGGAGCCGCCGCCACCACGGGGGGGAGCCGCCGCCACCACGGGGGGGAGCCGCCGCCACCACGGGGGGGAGCCGCCGCCACCACGGGGGGGAGCCGCCGCCACCACGGGGGGGAGCCGCCGCCACCACGGGGGGGAGCCGCCGCCACCACGGGGGGGGGAGCCGCCGCCACCACGGGGGGGGAGCCGCCACCACCACGGGGGGGAGCCGCCACCACCACGGGGGGAGCCGCCACCACCACGGGGGGGAGCCGCCACCACCACGGGGGGAGCCGCCGCCACCACCAGGGGGGAGCCGCCGCCACCACCAGGGGGGAGCCGCCGCCACCACCAGGGGGGAGCCGCCGCCACCACCAGGGGGGAGCCGCCGCCACCACCAGGAGGGAGCCGCCACCACCAGGGGGGAGCCGCCACCACCAGGGGGGAGCCGCCACCACCAGGGGGGAGCCGCCACCACCAGGGGGGAGCCGCCACCACCAGGGGGGAGCCGCCACTACCAGTGGGGAGCCACCACCACCAGGGGGAGCCACCACCCCCGGGGGGAGCCACCACCACCGGGGGGAGCCACCACCACCGGGGGGAGCCACCACCACCAGGGGGAGCCACCATACAGTACCCAGGCCACAGTGACCTCCGTGAAGCACCACCTCCACAAGACGAGGCCAAGACCCGTACCCTGGTATAGGGGGACCTGAGGACGAGCGCGTCCCCGTCTAGCGAGGGTCGTCCTCCGGGTCGTATCTGGTCGTTGACGAACTGAGCTGAGCGGGGCACGTTGAGGGCCGACCTGATGCCCACCGCCTCGCCATCCAGGTGCCCCGGGCCCGGCTTGGGCACGTGAGACGAGCAGTACACCTCCTTGTCATCCTGCAAGACAAACACACGATTAGAAAAATATATATATGCGGATATAACAGCATAAGACCAAAACACAAAACATCAGTTTATTGATAGTTGCGAGGCGGGACCAAAGAGCCAAGGCTCAGCCCCTGCAAGCACAACTAGATGAGTACATCATAAATAAGCCAAGAAAAACACCTTGCATGAAAAAATATCATTAAAACATGTACAATGAAAGTGAACCTGAATAATGCGAACGAAAATATATTAATATTTATGAAAAACTGAAACATGCGTACTCAAAAAACATTATTTAACAATATCGACGATGATATAAGCCACGATTCCCGCCGTATAAACCTTCAAATGATTTTTGGCGGGAGGCGCCGCCAGGCTGGTCAACAGGTGACTCATCCCGGCCTCCACCTCCCTGGGCGGAGTGGGGCGGGGGGAGGCTGGTCAACAGGAGGTAACGGCCTGATTACCGTCAATGACTGGTCGCCTCCACTCGTCAGTCCCTCCACCCACGGCTCACCCCTCGCTGACAAAGGGTGAGGAGGGTCCATCCAACACTAGTCTTCCCTATAACACATCACCGATGGGAGTCGTGACCCCCACACCGCTCAAGGTGTAAACCACATTTGATATGGTGGTAACCACGATCCCCCTCATCTATCATGGTACAAACTACCCTCTCCCACACCGCTCATGGTGTAAACCACAATACTTTCATGGGGATCCCTTGTGAGGGTAGTCAGGGTATAATCACTGAGGCCATCTTTAACCTTCGGAGAGGAGGCAGGGGAACCAGGTTTATGTTTAAGGCCGAGCGAGAAGTGAAGTAGTTTCAAGGTACAGTGAGATAGACTATCGTCTCAGGCAGGTAGTGAGAACGAGAGCAGACCCAGACGAGGAATGGTCAGGAGGGTGAATATCGCCCCCAGACGATTGCAGACATCAAAGAGCTAAGCGGTGGAGAAGCTACGCAAGTGTGATGGCCTGCAACCGACAGAACGGCAACTGCGCCCAAGAAGCAGGGTCCAGGAGATGAATCTCGCTCTGCAAGCACAAACGAGTGAGTACATTTAGGCGAACGCGCACGCGGGTACGCAAATATGTCAGAGGAAGGGTGGAAACACAGGTCAGAGACACCAAAGGAACACGCTGCGTCAGGTCGCAGAGGAGCGAGAGAAGAGAGGGAGCTGGTGGACGTGTCGAGGTTTAAAGTTTGGAAAAGGCTGTGGAAGTGAGGAAGGGAAGAATGGTGTGGGGTGGAGGAGTGTGACCTAATGAAGAGAGACAACCTTGATGTTTCAGGTTGAGGACGGCTTGCTTAAATTTGTAGTGCAGGCAAGATCGGGAAAGGCAGGGTGGGCATCACTGTAGTTGATGCAGTGAGCGTGGGGAGAATAACACTCTGACCGACAATGGTAAGAGGTCACCATTGGGCACCACCACACAAGGGGCATACTGACACCTCGCTACTACTCTGAGGTTCCATACCCACATTTCCAGCATCTGTTGCAACATGCGAGAAGAGTGGGTGCATTTCTGCATGGTTCATCTTGCACCAGCATGAGGTACCAAAGACGGAATGTTCTGGCTATCAGGAGGAACCTTAACACGAAGGAAACAAACAACAGTGACCGTGAGGAGGCCGACTGTACGTATCAACCGGTTGGATAGGATACCTTTTGGTTTCGAGGACGTATTTAATGTTTTCATGGCAGTCTTGCGTTCCTTGTACCCAGTCAAACGTGCGGAGGAGGGAGGATGACGGTAACAATGCTGGCATTGAATTGGACATTTTTAGAGACCCAAATCCGAGTTTCATAAGTACGGGACAGAGCAGCAAGTCCAGGTGGGCTTAAGTGTAACCTGTGTATCCATTGTCAATAAAGTGTTTATGTATGCGCAAGGTCATCAGGGCGGGGATGTTCATCGCGACAAACTTCAAAATATTTAGACCGCGTAGTAAGCCAAACAAATCATAGTACGAAGCAGCAGTTGAGGGAAAACATGCGCGTTCACTTGCAAGGACAGCACCATGGGCCCCCCAGTAAGGAGAGCAAAAAGTGCAGTTGTAAACCAATGATGGATTCTCTCCAGGTGACTAGGTAGTTACCACCGGGGACTTTAGAGTTGTCCCTACTGAGTACGTGGGGCTGGGGACTGGAGGAAAGGCAGGGTGAACCATAGACGAAGCTGGATCGGAGCCCAACACGGCTATAGAGCCCGATCTTTCATTACGTGCAACTCAAAGGAGGAAGGGCCTGGTTGCCTGCTTTAAGAACCTGACTTTGGGAAGCGAGTTTGTTTACTATATGCATTCTATTTAACAAGTGTTTGGTCCCCAAAGCCATTGGCTACCACGTGCCAGCGTAGCAAGGGAGACTGAGCACTGGTCGATGTGGCGAAAAGTGCGTAGTCCCAAGCAGGCTCCTCCTCCTCCAACAGAAGAGTCCTCCTGCATTGAACATTCTCCAACAACAATGCAAAGCTATTTTTTTCCTTTGTACCCCAGCCTGGACACCCAAACCAACCTCTAGGAGTGGCCTCTCACAGGCGACCCCTCCGGCGAGTGGTCCAATCACCCAAACAGGTCTCTTATATACATGGCTTCTTCATACGTACAACAGGTTTCACTACCAAAGATCACATTCACTCCAAAAACTCTACGACTAACGGGTTATTCATGCCCGTGCCACCCCAAGGCTTGCTTAATCTTCATCAGTCACCGTACAACAGCCAGAAGCGGGGCCCGAGGCAAACCCTACCCGTCCCTACACAACATTCATGCAACGTGTGTGTTCATAAGGAGCCCCACTTGCAACATTCATGCAACGTGTGTGTTCATAAGGAGCCCCACTTGCAACATTCATGCAACGTGTGTGTTCATAAGGAGCCCCACTTGCAACATTCATGCAACGTGTGTGTTCATAAGGAGCCCCACTTGCAACATTCATGCAACGTGTGTGTTCATAAGGAGCCCCACTTGCAACATTCATGCAACGTGCGCGTGTGTTGTGTAGTCAGAGATGGTGGCCACCATGGCTTATGTCTGCAATATTATCACATCAGTCACCACCCACCACTAAAACCATCCACATTACAACTGGACGTTTGGCACTGTATACATTTATTGTGTATCCCTTGGCTAGTTAGTCTCTCACTTATCAACACCTTCAGCATCTTGTAATTTAATAATTACAAAAACCAAAATAGTGAACTGCACCCACACCTGTAGTGACTTGTGCAACACGTGTGGCTGCTCAGGGTTAACAGTCAGTGTTGGAGCACGTTTTAAAAACTTTCAAGAAATAAAGATATATAACATGTAGTGTTTTAATACTTCTGGAATCCGTAAATGGAATCGAACGATTGTAACCCATCTGCAGTCTCCCTCATCTCACAATGCTCTGGTGTTACATTACTGCCTTACTAATAATGCTTCTCACCATTTTCCTTAGCATGGGTGTGTAATTAAGAGGGCGGCAGTTAAGTTCCCATGACCAGGCGCTTAACACTAGCGCGCCTTGCGCTAGTTTCCTGCCACTTTGTGCTCTGCTCGCTTATTATGACGTGTTGAATATCAGGTCATGGCAAAGCGGGTTGGTAGACTGGTGATTATGGCTACTGCCAGTTTGGTCCCGTCGGTGAGTAAATATTCAGTTTCTCTAAACACTTGTGTGGCAGGTGGATCATCCAGCTAATACTGAATGTGTACATTTACTGTTAGGTCAACACAGGCATCAGGGCAACCGTGCCTAAACGTCTCTAAACCTACTTACTACCAGGTGAACACGGGCATTATACGTGAAAGAAACGCGCTCAACCATTTCTGGCCCCGCCGGGATTCGAACCCGGAGTTCCCGATTGCGAATCGAGAACGAAGCCGATTATACTACGCGGATCAAACATATATATGGTAACACCATGAAGGGAATATTGTCTACGTCCTTGGCACCCAGGACCCTTAGTTGTGTGCCAAGGACGTAGACAATATTCCCTTCATGGTGTTACCATATATATGTTTGATCCGCGTAGTATAATCGGCTTCGTTCTCGATTCGCAATCGGGAACTCCGGGTTCGAATCCCGGCTGGGCCAGAAATGGTTGAGCGCGTTTCTTTCACGTATAATGCCCGTGTTCACCTGGTAGTAAGTAGGTACCCCAGGGAGTTCGTCAGCTTGTTGCGGGGTTGCATCCTGGGGAGGCTCGACCCTGGGGGAGGACCTTGATATAAGCCTAACATGTAAATATACACTGGCTGCCTGTCCCCCGACACAATGACATCATCATCATCATCTCAGACCACTTCATAACATTATTTTGGACGTCCCAGTCCATGTTCATTGTGAATTGTAGAATTTTACTCTCGCTGTTATCTATTTTTCAACGACCTCCGCCGGTCGGGAGTTAAATCCCCGTGTGACGACAGCATCCGGTCCACATTACTGCCACACAGGTCGTTGGGGTCACTGTTATTAGTGTCACCTTGCAGTTGTCATTATTTAATCATGCCAATTAACCTTGCTGCTTCCTGGCCAACTGACACACCTACCAACCTTGTCCACCTAGTTTAGATTCCAGCGATCAACAGTCCTGCGGCCCGGTCTCCTGATGGGAGACCTGGTGGGAGGCTGTTGGACGCGGCTGCTCGCAGCCTGACGTATGAGCCACAGCCTGATTGATCAGGTATTCCGTGGTGTTTGTCGAGTACTCACTTGAACACCAAGAGGTCGGCCAGTTATGCTCCTGACGTGTAGCCCGGGGGGGGGGGGGGGAGCACTCCAATTGATGTTTGGATTGTTCAAATTACCTACATTTACATTCTCGTATTGTATACCTGCTTTCAATGTATAATACAACAGGGCATCATCATGCCTCTTTATCACTTACATGGTCTCTACACAACTCTCCACCTCCTTTTGTCCAGATCATTGCAACATTCGTAGGTATGTGTTGCAATATGTCGCACCCTGAGAGGTGTGTTGCATGTGTTTCACTCTGCCCTCCACAGGTAT